TGTGATGACCCGAAATGTTCTCACCAGTGACGTTTACCCGGTATGGGCATACTTTGCGTGACCGATAGACAGCACAAGCGTAAAACCTTTCAGCTTCAGTATTATTTTTCCCAGCTTTGCGTTCAAACAATAAACAAGGTCCTGAAAAAAACCTTAAGGTCATGAAGTACGATCTCTTTCAGGCCCGTAAATATATGCAAACATGAGGCCTATACAAGCAACGGCCTACAGTATTACCCACATTTCTGCCCTCTGGACAATAAGTACCACGAGTTTCGCTAGCTTGTGCTTCATTCCAATAAAGAGTTGAGTAGTCAGTTTGGGGTCTCCAGCGCACGAGGAAAACTGCCTCACTTCTACCGGCATTCATTTTGCATAAGAAAACCACTTCTCAGCAATAAAAAAGCATCGCTAATAGAGACCTTCCATTCGGCTATTTTCGAGTCTCCATCTCTCACAGGAGTTACGAACAGTAATTATCTTTGATGAAATTTATAAATAAATTCAGCACCAGGCGGGCCGGTGCGATCATGCGTTTTTGCACATGTTGTGCCGCAGCAAGGCCACAGTAGCTAGAACTTCTGACATACTGGCTCTCGACGTTCAGGAGGTTAAGCTACGTGGTATGTAAGTTGTGGATGTCGAATTTAGTGACCCAACAAATGGAAATTTATTAATGGCCGAATACAAACCCACTCGAAGAGTTGAATTTGAAAGCTTTCAATGGCACAAGAATAGAAAACACTCCCTTAAAATTCCAGCTTCCCATCTTCTTTCGTTCCCGAGTTAGCAAAAATTTTGCATGCCTGTACGTGAATCCCGGGCGGTTTTAACGAGCTGAATTCAAAATTTTTTGGTCGTACGTGAGGAGGGAGCATTCCCTTAAACTTTCAGCTTTCTAACTTTCTAGCTCCCGAATTGGCACTTTTCTCCCAAAAGTTTCACGCGTCCGTACGCGGGAAGTAGACGTGCGTGACACTTAATATCACGTTCTTGGGGTCGTACTTGGTCAGAAAAGACACCAGCAGAATTTTAAAATCAAACCTTGTCAGATTGGCGAGTAGAAATACCCGAACAGACCAACACATACGCACACATACACAAACATGCATACCCATATACAAACAGACAGGATCTTTGCAATATGCGTTTTTACTGCCTGCTGCAGCACTCTAGCGCTGCACGGCAAAAACGAATAAAAGCTGGGATTGAAATTTATGCAGTGAAGACGTGTGCGTAAAAGAATGACAGAACTGAAAAAGCATATGGAAAGGGGAACAGAACCGAAGGAATACATGGGACAACAAACGAAAAGCAATATACATTATACAGTAAAAATTTTTATGTGATGCGGTTATGTGTGTGGATCGCTGTGTGGCGTGGTGCTCTGAGCGTACGCACAATGTAGAGAAGCAAAATCAAGTTTATGACTTACTGATGAAGAATCGTGCAAACAGCAAATAAATAGCACGAAATGTGGCGCTTATAATCTATCGAATCTGTGAGCTTGCCGAGCAAGAGTAGTTGTACAGAGCATGGTTGATGAGGGCCAGGAGTATATGAGAAGAGGTCGAGTCGTTGAAGAGACCGTCGAGAAGACTTGCTGCCGTGGTCCCGGTGAAGGAGAAGACTGAGAGCCACGAAGAATGGTGGGGAGGTTTATAAAGGGTGTAGGAACCGCCCCAAAAGAGGATGTGAGAGTTTTTTGGAGAGGTTGAAAATGTGAAAATGATAATTAAGGTAAAGTGAAATGTGAATAGGAAAAATGGAAATGCGGGCTTTTAAAGGGTTAAAAAAAAGGGAATGAAAAGAAAAATAAGAAAGTAAAATGGCTGGGAATGCAAACGCATTCCAAAATAGGAGCAA